GAATGGGTGAGTGATGTAACTTTGGACGATGGACACTATGTCATTTCATGCCACCCTCTAGCAACGCCCTGTGCCTGCCTTTTTTTATTTTGGTGTCGCGCACGTCCCAAGGGGCAGTCTTTTTTGCACACGTTAAACTGTCACGCTTACGACAAATGATGGGGGGGAGGGGGAAGATTGAGACAAACAAAACTCACCGTGTGTGAAAAAACCCTGAAAAGGATGGGAAACCCCAGGCGTTTCCCCTCGATGGACCCGCGATTTCTCAGATTTTCCCAAATCCATAACCAAGCTCGGCCGCTCGCCGCCAACGGATACCATCTGAGGAGATGCAGAGCAAGCTCAAGCGGGAGTATCATGATTTGGCGGACCATGAAAGGAACTATTTTCCCCGTTCGTCCGTTAGGCTGTACAACGTGTGTGACGGAAAAAAGCAGCACATGCTCGTGCGAATGAACCAAACACCCACAGGCACACACATCAGGTCCGGATGATGCAGGTCTACCGATCCATGCATACGTGTCCCTCCCACCCCTCCATATATTCGCATGTACCTAACGCAAAAGCAAACCGACAGAAATGCAGGTACCTGCGAAGGAAAAAAAAAAAAAGATCGCCCAACCCTAACCCAAAAGCAAACCGACAGAAATGCAACCCACGACCCGCACGCAGCCAGCCAGCCACCCAACGCGCCCTCCCTCACTCCAGAAACTCCCTTCCTCCCAGAAAAACCAGAATCAGAGCGGCTAAGTCTTTGAGCTACCAGAAAAAGCAGCACCACATCGATGACCGTCGGCTACGCATCAAAGCTATTCTAGAACAGCCAGGCGGGGGCTCGCAAATATGCCTGCAAGGGAACCCAGAGGCAGAGCGTAAAAGAAATTTTTGGAAAGAGATATGATTGCTTCATCGCCAAGCGACGCAAGTTGTGCGGGAGAAGAATCGTGATGTAAAGGCTAGAGAGTGTGAAATGGTGTTGCACGCACCCTTGTTGTCGACTGTTGTGAGGTGTGTGGATGAGCAATCTGCGGAGCACATCAAAAAGCAACAGCTCAATTGCCAAATGCCCGTCAAGAATGCTTCCGGGGGGTCGTGCACGCGCTCAGCTCGCCAAAACGCCTTACTTGGGAAAATAGACCTGCCGGTAAACGTAGGTTTAGCGCCGAATTAGCGTGCATGCAGCACAAAAACAAGATGGCCGCCTACTTCGCCCCTCTCCAGTGCGCAGTCGGCACCGCAGCAGGCAACGAGAAGCTCTTCAAAGCCGCCGAGACCTTCATCGAGAGCCGGAGGGAGGGCGAGAAGCGACTGCTCATGGGGCTGGATTGCACCAACGCCTTCAACGAGGTGGACCTCGCCCGCCAGTTCCCTGAGCTCTTCCACTTTCTCTGGCAGTTCTATGGAGAGCCAGCGGAGCTGTGGTATCGACTCGCAGACGGCAGAGTGAAGACCATCCTGAGCCAGCAAGGCACTCAGCAAGGAGACCCTGCCAGCCCCTTCCTCTTCTGCCTGGCCCTCCAGCCAGTACTCAAGGCCATCCAAGCCAGCTTTCCACGCGCCCTCATACAAGCCTTCATGGACGACATCATACCGGGGGCCGACGAGAGCAAGGCAGACGGGGTGGTGGACAAGGCGGAGCAAGAGCTGCAGACCATCAGCCTCAGGCTGGCCAGGAAGAAGAGCAAGGCGTACGGCCCCCACTAGACGGACAGCGAGCCACCACCAGAGGACCTGCTGCCTGGCTTTGAGAGGGAGGGGCTCTCGAGTGAGGGCATTGACATCCTGGGTGGGGCAACGGGGACGGACGGCTACGTCAGTACCAAGCTGCAGAGCGTCCTCGACTCCCACCGTCCCCTCATCGAACGACTCAAGGCGTTCGCACACGAGCAGCGGCAAGACTCATCGCTCCTTTTCCGCTCTTGCGCAGTCCCACGGCTGTACTACTGGCCTCGTCTCCTTCCCCAGCGCCCTTCAACCACCGAGGTCACGGCGCTACTGAGGGATGAGGAGGTCATGAGCGCAGCCATCGCCATCACGGGCTGGGAGAGGAGGACACCACCGAGCCGCAGCGACGACAGATGGCGCTACCAGTGAGAGAGGGGGGATTGGGCATTACGACGGCGAGCGCCATCCTGCCTGCGGCATATCTCGGCTGCACCGCTGTGACGCTACCCTACGTGTGGAAACACTACCAGCTGGCGCCATGGATGCCACAGGGGGAGGGAGGGGGGGAGGGAGGGG